CCCCCCCCCCCCCCAGCACTGCACCATTGCGCCAACCCCCCGCGAGGGATGACGTGCATGGGCTGGCTCGAGTGACCCGCTTTGCCTTGTGTTGTTTTGTGTTGTTCTGTTTGTTTGTTTGTTGTTTGTCGCTAAGGCGTGTATCTTTCTCTGTCGTCTGTGTCTTTCTCTTTCCCTTTGCTTCTCTCCATCTGCTCTATTCCTTTCTTTTTTTTTTCTTTTTTTTCCCCCTTTCTCTTTCTTGTTCTTTTTCTTTTTCTTTTTTCTTTTTCTATCTTTTTCCAATCTATAGGGAGGGGTTACCTCGCATAGCGTGCAGAGAGGCGAGCGGAATGGCCTAGACTATCTGTCAATGACTTTTATTGGCTTGCGGACCGTTCGGGTCCATTTTATTTTCGTATACGTTAGGCTGTGACCACGGGAATCGACCCCGTCAAGTGTTAGACTAGTACGGGCAGAAGAAGGTACTGAGCAGAGAGAACGGAACGGTTTTTAATGTAAAGACAACAACAACAACAACAACAACCACCTCGTACACGCCTACACACAAGGAGCTTTATCTAGCACTGTAGCGAAACTCTTGAGACGAAAGTGTCGTGAGGTGGGTCGCGCTTTGCTCAACACGACAAACACCATGAGCTATGCAGACTATCCCAGTCCACTTTCACCGTCCCAGTCCACTTTCACCGTCGCTCTCGCGTGTATTTTTCGAGACCCCAGCACTCCCGGTGGAGCCAGGACAACGTATAGTAGACATGCACACAAACGCTAACGTACGGATCACGACCATATTGATTTACCCACTCAAGTACCACCAACGGAATTTCGAAGGAAATGAATGAAACCCCCTCATATCACAAGCAGTCTAACCCCCGAAGACAAGTCATCTGTTGTTATTGTGCTTTCAAAATGCGTTTAGCTGGTGGGCTGCTTCCACTGCACAACGCTCGTCTTACTATTATGAAAGTACTCCCACCCTTCGGGCGAGGTGAAAGACGTCCAGTTTGGGGGGAGACCGCCTCTCCCTCTTGATCCCGTAGCCCCCGCCGTTCTCCCTCCACTGCTAGCAGTACCGTTCACAACCCTTCCGACCGCAACAGAGTATTTTCTCTGAACAAGGTCCTCGTTGTTGTCGTCGTGCTCCATGTCGCCATCTCGCCGTTCTTCTCCCTCTGTTGATTGCTCTTGCCGGGGGCACCGATGCTCGGATGGTGAACGTCTGCCCCCGCGCCGCCGACCTATCTCTTGGTGGTGGCCGGAAAAGCCAACACCAGCAGAGCGATCGCCTCTACCATCCCACTCAGCCCCCTCTCGGGGGACCCCCCCAGCCGCCGCTGGCGATGACGGGGAAAGCCACCCCCCCTGGCCAGCGACGGTCTGAGCCTGCTGCGGCCGACCTATCCCTTGGGGACGGCTGGAAAAGCCAGCAACATCGTCCGTCCCAACAGAGCTATCGCCTCTGCCATCCCACTCAGCCTCCTCATCGGAGACCCCTCCCGCCGCCGCGGGCGGCGGCGGCGAGAGCCACCCCCCCTCGCGAACGATGGTCTTCGCCTGCTGCCTCGAGCGCCCGCGTTTCCCGGCGGGCAGCCCACCTCGCAGCAGCCCTGTGTACACCGTACCTTCGTCGCTCTTTGGCCCGCCATCGCGATTCTTGGCCTCAACGTCCTCCGCGTGCACCCATGGTTCCTCCCTGCTTGAAGTCTCCGCCGGGGGCGAGAGAGGCGACCCCCTATTGGCTATGGCTTCGGCGGCCTGCCGGTATCTTGACCGCCCCCGGATTCTCGCCTGCAGCTCGGGGACAAACGTGCAGCCGACCAGCTCTTGCGCGAGAAGGACTTCGCGGACCGAGGCTCGTCTGTGTGGCGCAGTTCAGAGATCGGGTAGACGTAGAAAAAATGTCAGGTTTGTGCGGGAGTCTTGGGTATGCAACGTGGTGATGGTGGAAGAGAAGAGGGTCGTTGTGATGTACAATAAAACCTGACACCGATAGTTCAGGGTAGGATTCGTCGACAACGGCTCCGACAGCCGCCTTGGCTAACCCCGTGTACCCAATCATCCCCGGGGATACTACTCTCCCCAGCAGAGCTCGTACGCAAGCAGCCCCACCCTCGATGGATACTCGACACGCGGTCCCCGGTTCCCACGCGTCCCACCTGCTATCCCTTCTCTTCGCGTACTCGGTCGTCCTCTCGTAGATATCCCCACCTTGACCATGCTCCGGGCTTTCACTTGCCGAAGACCGTCGAGACGCGCGCCTGGCGACGAAGCTGCGGTCTTCCTTGTCTTGCTCGACCGACTGCGACCGCCGGCGCTCTAGGATCTCCACCTCTCGGTCTTTGGCTCTTTGCTGCATGGATGGGATAGCGTCGCGTCCATACCTGAAAAATAATCACCACACCACAGCAGTAGCGATCGAGTGGTCAAAGCGATGATGCGCAACAACAACTTGTTACGCAGCAAAAACAACTGTAGAGTACAAATACCAAAACGGAAGCTCGGAGGTCCGAGGACAGGCGAAGCCTGTATCACCAACATCAACCCACCAAACATAGTTGTACCACACGTTTTCAAGTTGCGGTATTTCCAGTAAGAAGCCACGCAGAGGGAAGGAGCTTCGTCTCACGCCCAACACAGTATCAGCTCGCACTTTGGACGTTACGTTCTTCAGACTCATCGCACAATCGCGTCAGACATAATGGGTCTCACCTAGATTCCAGCATCTTCTGAGACGTACCGAGGCCCTCGAGACGGGGGCTAAACTCGTACTGCTCGGCCTCCACAGCCTCCGACGCTCGTGACCTGGTCTCCTCCGACTGCGTCCCGGGCGACCGGCCGGTCTTCCCGGCGGCACGCAGCAGCCGGCGCGAGTGTCGGTTGACGGTCGGGTTCGGGCGTCGCAATGCCAGCTCTTCCTGGATGGACTGCCTCTCCTGTCTCCGCCTGTCGTAGAGCGTCCCCTCAGCGAGCAGGAACTCCTGCACGGCTGTCCCGCCCCGTCGCCCCCGCTTGTCGAGACCCACGGAGGCCCACCGGTCCCTCCGCCGCTGGGCTAAGAGAGCGCTTCGCTGGTCTATCTCGGGACGGAACGTATGCCCCCTGGGAGGTTTTCGAGACAGCTGCTCCCGGTAGTGCGCCCCCTCTCTGCTGAGGATCGCTTGTTCGTACAGGCGGCGTGCTACGTCGCCACGCTCCCGCGGGAGCGATTTCGACCTCGTCGAGATGTTGGGGTTGGCGCGGCGGCGGATCGCCGTCTCCACTCGCGCCTGCTGGGTGTCTCGCCGCCGGCGCTGTTCGCCGGCATCGCTGTGGAGGCGCTGCGATGTCGGGAGGTGCGCGTCGTTGCCCCCGCCGCGGCGCATGCGCTTTACCAAGACGGCGGACCTTCTACAAGTCTCCTGCACCGGCCACCGACCCAGGTCAACGACGACAAGGGGAGGGACAAAACGGCAAAAAGTACACGGTTGGAAAGAATGGACACTACAGGGTTGTGAGGTGGAGGAAAACAAAAAGAGGTACAATTATTGACACCAACGCTTTGACGTGTCTTGTTGCTAGAGCTGCTTGTTGGAAAGTTAAGCTCGGCTTGTTCCACCGCATGCTGCTGTTACCCTCGTGGCAATAATGCTCACCGGCCGGCCTGTCACCAGCTTGTTTTCGTGCGTCTCTCGCTCGTCATGCCTTCGGCGCCGGGAAGCTTCAGCGTTTCGCTGAAACAGGAGCAGATCGTCGACGCTGCGCTGCTTGTTCCGCCCGCGGCGCGTGATTTCGGGCCTGCCCGTCATTTCTTCCGCTTCTTTGCGCCGCAACTCCATCGCCTCCCGAACGGCGGCGGCCTGCCCACGAAGTCTCGCCGTTGTTGCGGCTGGGGGTTCGTGCATGGGGACCCCTTCCTTTTGGGACGCGTCCTCTACGTGTGTCGGGGTAGCGAACCTGCCTGAGGTTTCCCTTGTTCCTAGCGAAAAGTCCGGCTTGGGTGGAGTTTGGTCAGGGCCGCGACGTCGATACGGCCGCCCGAGTTCAGATTCCGGTTCGTTGGTGGCGAGCCATTGTTCAGCCTGCTGCAATGAACTAGGAACAAGATGATTACCCTGAGATGACGGCGCAGGTTTCGACGTCGGCGGTTCCTCCACGTGTTTGGCTCTTTGACGGGTTGGCTTTTTCAGACCCGACCACTTTGGTAACGGGGTCGATTCTTCGGGACACCCTACGCTACGCTGTGGGCTCCCAAGCACGTGCTTCGTTTCGTCGCCGTCTTTCTTGCCCGGCGCTTGCCGAGAACTCGTATAGCCTTCGCGCTCGGCCCCAGGAGACTCGCCCTCTACATTTCTGGCAGGAAGGGTTGAGGCTCGGTGAAGCATTGACCGGACAACGGCCCCCTCGGTTGTTCCAGTTTTCAATGTGCGGCCGCCTCCGTCATCTAGCTCGTCCGTCGTGCCGAGTCGGCCCCCCTTATGAACGACAGTGGGATGTTTCGGTGCCTCACTCCGTGAAGATACCGCGCTGCAGCTTCTCCCAAACTGGATTTTTCCTCCTTTCGAAAGAATCACGGAGGACCTAGACCGTACCGTTACTGCCCCACTCCGGTTGGTGGCAGCAGGTGGTGGCCCCGAGGTTTCTCCTTCTCGCGATTGCGGTGGTGGGTCCCAAGTCGTCTCCCCGGTGTCGAGGTTGTAGAAGTACAGTCGCCCGTGCTCCTCAGCATAAATCGCACGCCATGAGGGGGCAAAGGAGGGAGGGGGGGGGGGGGGGAGGGGTGTTTGTGGCTGTGGTGGCGTGGGTGTTG